CTCTGTCCTCAATCATGCCAGCCATAGCTGACCCGAGGAAGAGGGAAAACACGAGAAGTGAAAATATATTTAAAAGGTGAAGGACTGTATTCTTTTAAACCTTTTATTACATTACGAATCGGATTAAGGAATAATTTGTAGTGAAGTCGCAGATTATATCCTTTTAGGTAGGATAGAAAGGGGGATTTGTTGGAGAGGATTATCAAGTAAACTTTACCGTATCGCCAAAAGCTGCGTTTTCCGCCAGTCTTCGAGGATAGACAGGGAACAAATAAGCAGCAAGCACCAACACGTCTCAAGAACATTTTTTTTTAAATACAAGGCCTCTAGACTTTCTATTTGTGTTAATTGAAGGCTAAACGAATGAACTAGCAATGTGACATTTCATGGTATTAAATAGCCATAAAATTTCCAACATTAAATCATATTCACTCTACAATGACTTGTCTATTGTTTTCCAATGGTTGATGCGCCCCTGTCGGCAGTGCTTAGACAATAGTGACAAAGCGCTACTTTTGGCGATAGCGGAAAATCAATATCGATCCTGTAAGTGCACTAAAACTGGTCATACCTACTCAGACAAGACTCATTTACTTTGCCTTCGTTCATGTGACTAGTGTGTATTTGTTTGTGTGTGCGCGAGGGTGTGCATGTGCGTGCGCGTGTGCGTGCGCGTGTTTGTACGATATTTTCGTTCCTATATATTCCTCCTCTCTCTCTCACTCTTTCTTTCTCGCTTCCTTTCTTTGCCACACCTTTGCCACACTCACTTTCCGTTACTCCTCCTGTATTTCAACACCGTATAGCGCTTTCCATCGTCTTTCTTACTTTTGGGGAGGGGTGGAGACAACTTCCATCCTACCAACCACACTTTTAGGTGTTAAGTTTGTTCGTATGATCGAACGATCTTTCCTTTTTTTTTTTAACCCAATCATTGACTACTTTAACTCAATATTGGGGCATTAGTAACAAGCATAGCTTTTTAACATGCCCTACTATTAGAACAAAAATCTTTTATCTTGAAGATCATACCATGTACATGATATATTGATAAGTTACTAATGTTCAATTTTTATTTACGATATCTACGTAAATCACCATTGTTACCAGAAATGTATTTTTGTTACGTTCTTTATGAAGTAGTAGATAAATAGACTTGAACTTGAACTTCTATAGATCATATTGTTTTATGATTAGCGTTAAAAAGCCCTAAGATCAAATTATATGGCTCCATGTACGTTTCTAGTTTATAGTGGAAATCACGAAAAACTATATATCTTTCTCTCTACTTCACGTGCTCTGTACGTCAATATTATATCGCTGAACCATGTTGGGATTTACTCAATAACATTTACGCCTCACACGTATGCCTATGTGTACCGATCTAATACGACGTGAACCAACATCGTTGACATTTCACCGTTTACCTTCCGTTACGTGGATAATGTTAACCCATTGCTTACTGGAACCTGGTAGTCCCTGTGCTAAGCTTATGGGAATTAGATAATTCAGTAACCAACGGGTTAAACATCGGAATTAGCGGCTAAAGGTTAAACGTTTATTGCATCCGAACAAGTGAGAAAAGAATGATGCAGCTAAGGCTATCCTATGTATTTCAGTGTGGGACAAAATAAACGTTCAGGATGAAAATTAGAAGCCTTGATTTTAAGTTGTTTATCCACAAATCAGGATCTATCCGCTCTTGTTGAGGCTGTATAGTACGGTAAAGCCTCAACTTAAAGATAATACAAAGTTTTGGGACATTTTGAAAATTGGGTGGATAGTGATTCTTTACAATTTTGATATATTTGGATGCCCCTGTGGATGTTTTATATGCATTAGAAAATTTAGCCCCTAAAACACTTCTGCTTTCGAAAAAAATTGAATATAATAATTTACCGGTGTTCCCGGTAAATTTTGATAAATTTCAAATAGCGCCTACGGCCGTACAATGGTAGCTGGGACCATCATAATCTCAGAATATGTAGTTGTAATATATAATTTCCCAACGGGAATAGCTAATTGGTCGATTTTAGTCAAGAAACATTGTTTCATAGCTTAATTCATATCTTGACTTGAGAGGGAGCTATACAACATAAATAGTGTATTACTCACAATTTCATAACTTTACACTCGATATCAACCAGGAAACGACCACTGAATAGTGTAGGCTCGCATATGCTTCCAATATGTTCATTTGAACAAAATTCATGACCCCATACCAAAACTTTGTATTACCTTTAAGTGCGGATAGATTGTGTACATGGTATATTCTTCGTCTTCTTCTTCTTCTTCTTCTTCTTCAAGATAATCTGCCTCCTTCAATACTGAAGATTCTTGCAGATGCCGTATACTCGGCCTTATTGGGGTGTGCAGGTGGACCATTACACCGGGGTTTCCCCCTACTCTTATACCAACTCATTCCGAGTCTAATACCCAGTCTCTAAAGGGCTTGGGAGTAGGCGTACGCCGGCTCCAAATTATACTAGTTTGAGAGCATTCAACAAGAAGTTCATGCTCAGCGCTTGCTTGAAATTTTGAAGGCATAGATTGAGTTAGTTGGTGATGAAGTTCGGTTTTTTGTTTTAAAGACATACAGTGGGTTTTTGTTGAACTTTCGGTGATATTCAAAGTGCACTATAATTGGGATTGTTTATTGTTATGGTAACAATACAAACGATGTATTTAATGATATGTAAAGGTGAATTGCATTGGAAACATCTCTTATGCTCTACCCTGGCAAACATCCTGTTTTACTTATTTGTGCCAAATCGGAATAAAATGCTTTAACAATGTGAGGCTTATTCCACCGACTTGAACAAGAGGTTACCTGAATTCCATAAAGTTCTTCAAAATACTATCTTCCTCATCATGCTCATCGCACGTTTCCCTTCACCGATTTAGCATTAGATTCTCCAAGAAGCAACCAACCGCAGACTAGACACGGCGGGGTTGAGGGTATCTTTGTTATCGAGTGTTGAATATTGATGATGATTCCCAGATCGCAGAGAGAGATAGTTATCAGTTGTGATCTGAATTCTTTCTTATAAAATTTGTACTTACCGGCCGGCAGAGCGTGAGAATGGAGCGGATGCTCGGATGAAACAAAGAGAATGGGGGAGGAAGGACGGGGAAACAGACGGGAAGAGTGAGATGGATAGATACTAGGAGATAAAGGTAGACCGTGATAGATCGTGATATCCCTATAAAAAAGAGACAGTTAGTCAGGCATTGGAGTTATCACGAAAGACAAGGCTAAAGATAAATAGAGAGGGAGAGAGAGAGAGGGAGAGAGAGAGAGATAGTGAAGTTTTGGGGAAAATGCGAAGTTTTGGAAGAGAGGAAAGAAACATAGGATTATTGTAAAGAAAGATAAAATTAAAACATAAAAAGGAAACTATGAGGGGAAAGGATGGAAGAGATGAGAAAGGTATAAAAGAAAGAGAGACCGAAGAAGAGACTGCTGAACATTACTGAAGGGAGCGAGAGAGAAAGAGAGAGGGGAAGGGAGAGAGAGAGGGAGAGACCAGAGGACAAAGTGGGACATAAAGAGGAGGAGGGTGTAAAAAGGGAGAAAGCGAAGAGAGGGGGTGTTTTCTATTATAGGCCGATACTAAAATAAACACAAATGTGCATAAACCACTGTTTCGACCGACTTAGAACTTCCGATTTCGCTTATGAAAAATTATAGAAGAAAGGAAATTGAGTGGTTTCTAATGAGAGCACGTTGATAGTAAAATTAATTTCGCAACGGTGTCGTTACTGCCTTGTCGTTTCGATAAGTAACGGGAGTAATGCCAAAGGGTGACATTCATCAAAGTTACCAAAGACATGAGGAAGCTTGAAGGAATAAAATACCACTGCCAACATGCGTGTATTTAGAAGCAGAAGAGTTGACCGAGTACTTTAAAAGAGCAATGTATTAGCGAATCGGGTGAACGGACAGTTCATGACTGTGAAGAACAATCCTTAAAATCATTTGGTTTACTAAACAGCCCTTGTACTGAAACAAACAAGACTAAACAAATCAAGATATATTTATTCAAAGAATGGACGACGTCGCCCTTTAATCCAAGGAGGGGGCTAATGGCGGCGGTCCACCGTGAGATCACACTACTAGAGTTTCCGAAAATCCATTTCATTAAGCGTTTGTTGCAATAGTTATTTTACTAATATAATCAAATGTAATGCTCAAATTTTTGTTAAGTACCTCATTACAAATTATCCATTCAACTGTTACGAACAATATTGAACCATAATAGTCAGAATGCGAATTACACACGATACGACATTACGTGTTGTTAGGTAGAACAAGTCATAACGTTTGTCCTACCTAGCGGCAGTAGTAGTACTAGTGCGATTGACTACGGGTAGTTTGGTTTTTTATCAAATCATATAAAAGACCTATTTAAAACTGCGGGGAGGGGGGGGGGTTGTCGGAGGGAAGAGGCTTAACATTTAACGTACGTTCAATGTTATGTATGCATGTAAATAATCAGTATGCATTTCCCAGTAGAATAAATCCCGAATGGATGTTATCAATACAGGAAATCTCAGCAAAATTCTCTCTAAGATTTGTGTTTGCTCCATATATTCTATCTGATAAGTTTATTCAACTATAATTACACTACAATGTATTTATCAACCTGCTTGTTTAAAGGGGGTATTATCTTTAAAACGCTGTTCATTGAAAAATATATGCTTTATATGTAAAATACAATACAAATCCATTATGAAATATGTTGATTATAACTCATAGGACCTATATGATTTTTAGATCAGACTACTTAAGACTCAAGTGTTTATGGGAAAACATTTTTGTCCATCGCTCTCCCCCACTCGTGCCAACATGTTACAATATCTCAAGTTTGGTTGTTCGATCCCATGGCCTATATTTTTCCCCTTTCCTCCTCGCTACGCAGATCTTTGCATTGCAATCTTAATTACAACAATTTTCCTCTTTTTGTTTTCCTTTTCAATCTTTGCCCCTACATCTACAGCTTGAAGGGGATTCCGATATTCTGGGCGATTTGAGGAGAGCGGCAAATAGGATGAGACTTCTACAACTCTTCAACCTGTCAAAGACTCGCCTGAATGTAAGCACTCTTAAACTCGAGTTTCTTTCGTTCCGATTCATTTACGGTAATTCGACACGCCGTCGGTCGGAGCTAGAGACGGGGAACATCTCTCCGGATAAAAAAAAGCTGGCCCCAAAAATAAAAAATAAGAAGTTCGAAACGCAGGGTTGTTTTGTTACCGTTTCGTTATGAAGTGTGGGGGCAGTTTTACCGTGATAAGGGGCAGGTCTGGGGGAACAAACAGTTCTTTATTTTAGTTTACGGAAGGAATTAAAATAGGGCATTGGTCAGTGCATGAGGCTCCAATCCGTCATTGACTTTCATCCTTGAGCATGCATTTCCGTTATGTAAAAACCATCGAATTTTAATATGAAAAAAATACAATTCCATGTTCTAGGCTCCATCTATTCTTCAGTTGAATGGGGATTCGTATCCAATTTCTGATTTTTTTTTATCTATTTCCAAAGTATTCAAACTTCCACATTTCGACGTATGGCAGACAATCTTATGATTATAAATAAGTTTGAATGAATACATGAAGTGGAAGATATGTTCTTTATTTTGTGTCCATTTATGGTGCTGGAATAAAGTCAAATAATTTATGTTACAACCATACGGCAAACAGGCAGTAATATATTTATAATTTCGAAGAATCTTTTTGGTGACGATTGCACGTAGTTTTTACAAGGTTGCTTTTTAAATGTTAGCTCTTTACATGATTGCCAAGCAGTGCGAGAGAATGAAAAGCATTTTTAATTTATAACAACAATTATAATTACTTTCCGACCACAATAATGCTGACATAAAACTTTAAGAATTATTCGTACCTTGGTACGGATACAATTTCATTTTTTTTTAATTAAAAAAAGTACCTTTTCATTTTAAAATAATTGCTGATGATTTTGCGCAACAATTTTGCAGTTTTGTTTTTATTTCATTCCTAACTAAAATTATGAATTAGTCTGCACCTGCGTCAAAATGTTAGATAATGCCTTTGATATGATTTCAACGCCAGGCATTAATTTTCTCTCCTTAAAATGAATGTTGACCCAAAATGACGGAAACGTTCTTTTAATAATTTCTTATTTTAAACACTGTTGTAGATAGGCAATGCAGTTGACACAGTAAATTGAATACCATTTGTCATACATTACTCATCACTGTCTGTAATAACATTTCCGATTATTTCATTAAAAAAAAAAACGAATACGGAAAAAATAGACATAGTTAACGGCAGTCTGTAATATAACAAATCGTTTTAATTGCCGCTGTTATCATATGAAAATAAAAAATAATTTTCCTCGTGTATGAGAATAGTATTGATGACGTACACATTATAAATGAGCAAATTTGTTTTCTCTTTCATATCATCAGGGTTCCCCTTGGCCTTGTACTGAAAACGCGCTTTGAAAACTCCTATGATTTATCATTATTACAGTACACTATTGTTAAGCTGAATGTATATATTAATATCGTTAGCTGTGAATGATATCAATTATGTAAGTATGCTTCAGAAAGCAATCACTATATCGACAATGCTTTCATTATCATGCATACAGAGACATCGTGCAACTCATTATTTCTTAATAATTGCTGCTTCCAGTTTTTTTTCAGTGGCGGTGGATAACAAACAATCAAAAGCCCTGAATAAATGTAGTGATAAAACTTTGATGACATGAACAATATTTTTATTTATTGTTAGTAAGAGACCGTGGGTCAAAGACCTATAGACCCCGTTTCGTGAAGAAAAAAAAATCAATAACAAGTGTCACATTTCCATAACAATTTTGCTCTCAGCCAATCGAATGTAAGGCTATCAGTATCTTATAACAGTAATTACAACTAGTTATTGATAACAAGTATTTATGAAACATGGCCTTTGTTAAAAATGCGATATTGAGTTTTGAGCCTGTTGACACAGAATAACGATATCATTCTTTCTGAATCGAACGAAGCTATAGCAACCCAATTTAATAAAGCAGTTCAATTAAAGACCGACGTAAAGAACCGAATGCTATTTTAAGACAACCTCATCGGCTTGCAAATTTGATGTTTTTTGTGTTTTTCGTAGCGCAAAAGTGGAAGGTAGACTGTTGGAATAGGGGCCTGTGTTGAAAACTTTAGACGTAAGCTTCAAAATGTCACGTTCCCAAGAAACATAAATCGGCCAAATCAATGTTTTACATAAATTACTTTAAACATTACACAACTTAAAGGGTATTGGTAAGGGTATGACAAATGTAGCTATTAACTCTGGAATAATCTTTGATGATAAAGTGAATAAACAGTAAACTGTCTGTAAAACAGCAATATAAAAATATACAAAATTAAGAAGGAAAACGTAGAATGTCAATAATTATAGCTTCCATTTGAACAACTGGTAATTTGGTAATGCATAATTTTGCTCCAGAGTCTAAATTTGGGATTGTCAAATCTGAATTTGGAGGCATTGTCGTCTAATTGATTATTCATGGTGCATCAGCGGGCCGGCTGTAAGAAATTTGATCATAAAGGGAGGAATATTGAAACAAGACAAAAAGAACGCCAGAACATATCGCCTTACAGCAATCGCCTGCTGGCTGTTAATTTGTGTCATTTGATGGACAATAATGAGGCATTAAAAGCTAATTTTGATAATAGATTTGGAGACCAGAGTCACAGTGAAGCGGGAAATTCATTAAACATACGCGATAGGTAAAGTACTCTTGTGTGAAAATTTTAAAGTAACTGTAAAATAAAAGTTATTCCAAAATTACTACGCGGTATTCGTCAATTTAATAATATGGACTAGTCTTTAAAATTTTCTGATAATGCGTAATTCTTCGTTTTTGACGACTATGGGATATTCTCTATATTTTAATCGCAATGTATATATGAATGTGAAACATTTGGGAGTATTTACTACCGCCAAAAAACAAAATCATAAGACATACACAGGGGCGGATCCACGTAGCGATTATTCCGTAGCACCCCAAAACGATTAAAAAAAAATAGGATAATAACGTAAAGTTAACCTTTATAAAACAAAAAACAAAAGCGCCCCTCCCCCCCCCCCCGCTTATTCGCCGGCCGGCTGAGTCGCAACTAATATTTTCTCACGGATTGGGCACCCCCTCTTCCCGCCGGCTGGATCCGCTCCGCCACTGGACATACATGTATTTCACAATTTGGGTTAAATCACTAATTATATACTTATGTATTTACTAAGTTCACTATTCTGGGAAGACTGGACTATGTGTTTTTAAATGACAAGTGTATTTGAATTTGATTAATTTGGGAATATTCGTCATATGCACCTTTAAATTACCTTTTATTCAAAATGTGTTGCATGTAAATTAAATTTGAAGCGTTTGCTATACTTTACAATTGAGCCTAGTTCGAATGAGCCTAGTTCGAATGAACCTACACGTACCACATAATAGAACATTTGAAACGTGTCACCGGCTTCATATCAAAACATGTTTGTCACAGCGACCACTTCCCGTAGTGAGTTTGATTGCATTGTCAAAAATGAGACAGGGAGGGGGAGAGAGACAAACATACAGACAGAAAGATGCCGTTAATTTCATGCATGAATCAGTGATTACACTAAATTGTTGTTTAGAAAAACGCGTTCTCAAAGAGACAAGGAAAACAATTTTTATTTTAAAAATGGTGATATTCATCAAATGGCAAATTTGTATCATCAATCATGATCATACACGAGCAGCCTTATTTTTATTCTAATATTGGGGATTATTACGGAACCTCTGATACACCTACACCCATATTTGATGTTGTAGATTCAATGAAAATAGTTTCAAAAAGAAAAGATGCAATGTTTAAACTACAGTCCACTGATCGGCCTCTAATTAATTCAATATTATTTGTTCGTACAATCATTGCTAAATCTTCAAACAATATAATTATGGCAACTAAAATAATTTGTACAAGTTCTGTAGATATTCAAGACTCGTATGGTCCTACCGGTCTATTCAATACAGTAATGCTTTGGTCTAAATGAGTTCGGATAAAGATATAACAAATAAATTTTACATCGTCTGTAATTTTGAAATAATAATATATGGGGACATGTCCCCTGAAGAAAAACAAATCATGCGCTATATATGAACTCGAATACGATGAGAAATAGCGACACGCTCGTACCAATATTTGTATTCAACATTGACTGTGGAGTACTTATCTTTATATATATATATATATATATATATAAAATGTATTTTTAAATATACAGTATATGCGATTTCAACAAGATTGGATCAGTAATCTTTTCACTGTGATCATTCCGAAATCATGTACACCTACAAGTCGTGTGTCCGGCCAGATAGGTTGGTTATCCGGACAGGCGATTTCAAACAGTAATTTGAAGCATCATACAAGCAATTTTCATAAATCTTTTAAGACTGATGTTGGAAGATCTAATGAAGGACACATATTCATGATGGTTTGTAATATGTGATTTCATTAATATTTTTGGTTAAATCCAATGGCAAAAGAGAAAGCTTTGCTTTTGTTCAGTGTCCGAACACTCCCCCCCCCCCCCCCATCATACTACAAAACAAACACATCCCCAGTTGCTTCCAGTCAGTTTCTCTCACGAGGTAACCGCATGACCGGTACGCATCATTATCTTTAAGGGCACTCTATAAGGGGGCACTCTATAAGGGGGCAAAGTGTAAAATGCCAAGGATCTTCCATCCCCGAGGCCCTGCCCTCTATCGCATCACTAGACGTGTTTATGGTAACTTTGAATCTACAGAGGGACATTTGAATGGTACGAAAGCAGTGCAATGACACGAAATTAAGATACAAGACAGTTTGAATCCAACGGAATAGTATATGTACAGTTCCATGGGTTTAATGTACCCTTCATGACATGTAAGACAAGTGTGTTGTACATGATTATGTGGAAGTAAAAATATATAATTCAATTAATTTTTTATTTTTTATTTTTTATTGGCAAAACGTTGGTCAACTTAACTTTCTAAACTTTCATAATAACAATCATTCTTAAATATTCTGAATAATCCACCAATTTTGTTTATGTCCGATGTGGGAAATCATGTTTCTAAAGGGGGCATTTGGATGACTGTAACGCTATAGAAATAAAAGCTTGATAATCGAAAACAATGCGCTAGAAAACAAATTTGAAACAAAGTTTGCTTGAAATCCGCTTCGTGAAAGCCCGAGTATATAGAATTTTTTTTAATAAAAAAGGTAATTTTCATATAATCAGAGATCTGGGAGCTTTTACTTTGCATTCATCAATATACCATCGTGACACCCGGGGAGTGCTGCATCCTATCACATAGCAACACCTAACTCAATGATCCACAACGGAATGCTTGTACTTTATTTCACAAAGTCAACTGCCTCGCACCTTTAAAAAGGGTTCCTTAGGCTAGAAGCAAATGTTAAATTGATATTCCTTTGCAGAGACTAAAGTTCGAGATAGTATTTGACATATGGATGGGCATGTAAAATGATATTTAATTCAGAATGGATGGATTTGCTCTTTGTTGTTCTCAGCTTTAATAATGTAATACTATTACACGTTTACCCCCTAGTCAATCGTGAAAGAGTCACGTACTTGAAACTGTGTTGCGTTTGAATGAGAACGCGACGTCTTCGTGTAAATGACGATTTATTCATGACTGGTCTATATGCTCGGTTTCCATCATGTGTTACAAACCGAAAATAAGAAATTCTAATTTGAACTTCTTGTTCTTTTTCCCTCCATTTCTCTGTCTACAATAATCTGTTTCCAACACTTCGTTCTCTCTTTCTTCTCCCATCTCAACTTTTCCATGTATCCCCCTCTTTATCAAACCTCTCTCACACTCTCTGTTTCTCCGTCTTTCTCTCTCTCTTTCTCTCTCTCTCTCCCACTCTTTTTGCCTGTCTGTCTGTATGTCTCTCTTTCTCCCTCCCTCTCTCTCTCTGTCTCTCTGTCTCTCTCTCTCTCTACAGGACTTGAATGATGCGACATCGAATGAAGTTGATGAGAGACCTGTCTATGGAGACTATCTCGGAACAGGATTATAGGAGACACCGTTTCTTTCACATTTGCATAAATAGCCCTTTTTTCAATATCTAAGTTTAACATATGAACTCATGCATTTTTTAGTATACAGGTGCAATGTTAAGGATACATATGTTTCAGCAAATAGCTTCTTTTTTCTTCAAAACTTTCATCATAGGTCTTCTTGATACCCTCGCATAAAAAGCGGAATAAACCTGCTGCTTTTTGCATCAATCATAAAAACAAGGGAATGTTTTCTTCTGATTCAAGACTGTATGTAGTCACATGATGAACAATTGAGAATTGAATTCGATTTATATATACGTTTACTAAATTTATTTAAGTCTGAATGCTTTTTAGACAGAGCTCTGTAGAATAGGTTGAATAAGCTTTCATTTTAAGCAATTCGTATTAGAAGCTATATTACCAATTATAATTTTATTCATCGATCGTGAACCTGATTAAAATGTCCTACAGTTTCTCTAAATGTCTCTAATCCAGTCATGCTCTTTATCATCGTCCACGAATACATCATTTTGTGTGCTTTTAATGTTCTCCACGAAAACACCCATGTGATGATATGTAATCAAGTTCCGATTAATATTTATCGGCCGTGTATTATTTAATAATATTCAGAGCAGCATTAATTCAATGTGTGAACATATAAGTGAAATCGATACTGGTGTATATATTTGTACAGGTGTAGTTACATAAGCACTTCAGTGTGTGGATGGAAGAAGTTTCGTGATTCAAAATAAATCAAGAAATTAAATGAGGAGAGTTCATACGCATCAAAATCGATGAAGGCAAAATATAATAAAGTTAAATTAGATTTATTACGTATATACTGTAGTCGCTCCGCATGTTTAGATATTTAGAAACAAACGAGGTAAAAGGGGGATAGAGAGTGAGAGAGAGAGTGTGTATGAGAAAGAGAGAGAGAGAGAGAGAGAGAGGAGAGAGGAGAGAGAGAGGTTTGCCCGTTCTGCGGCAATTATCCAAAGATTAAGCGCAATCGCCGTCCTATGTGACATAATTATATAATACCTATTGGAAATAATCAACACAGATGCATGGCCTATATAGTAATCACTTGGAATGGATTAATTGATAAACAATGTTTGAAATAAGAAGTGTGGTTATTCATTTATTTATTTATCTATTTAAATATCCATACAAATATCTAATTAGTTTAATTTCGATGCATTAGAGTAGAGTTGTAATAGCAATTTAAAGGATTTCAACCAAAAACATGTGCTTCATGATTGGATTTTTTTTTCCCCCTTACACTCAGTAGATTTATTTTCTTTCTTTGTTTCTCTAATTCTTTCATTCATCCCCCATGTCATCGAATATGCCTGATAAGACCCCTCCCCCTCTTTCCTCTAAATTCATTCCAGTGATTTTAGTAAGGAAGATATGAAGAATCTAAGGAAGATATGAACATGGTTTATGTACTGTGAGCAGTGAGGTGAGGTAATGTTTTCTCTCCTTTTTTCACGATGCAATAACACTACATTATCCTAGCGTCATTACCCTAGAACAAGTGCTGTAATATAATTGCTACGTTATGACTTTGACGGTTAAGGTTGACTCCACCCACCCCTTCCCCTTGTTTTAATATCAAAGTATACTTTCCCTCCCCCTCTCAATATCTATATATCTCCTATATTTATATCCTAGACATGTTACTTAACTTTCAAGTCTGTTTAAGTTCTGGAAAGTCGAATCATTATTTCAATCACTAAAATCTTCAACAGTCAAGTGGCGCCGAGACATTGAGCTCCTAGCCCACCCCCTACATGAATGCATCAAGGCATTTGCAGAGGCCCCTTAAACATTTTTAAAACTCGTCATCTCTCCCTGAATTTATATACAGTAATATTATACGCATTCTTTTATATTCGTCGTTCACACCTCCACGACGTATACCTCACTTCAAAAATGTTACCTGATGTACCTCGTATTTGTATCTCTCTCCGTAAAGAATCCCCATAGAAATGATATTCCTCTTCAAAAATGTCAAGTGTACTACTTGACTTTCGTGTAGTTATAGTCTAGAGACCACTTATATTCCCGGTGTTTTGATACAATACAATCGCAACTATTCTCGAAAGATCAACTCAACGGTAATTTCAACACCCTATTATACATCGCATAAAAATCATGTTCTGATCACGAAGTACGTCACTGCATGTTCACACAATTCAAAAGGTGACGCACAGGACTATTGGAATGGCCTTAGGTAGATTTCTCCGAAGTAATGGTGATCGTGTTACCCTTGAAATCATGACATTTTGCTACATCAAAATGAGTTTTATCGCCATTATCCCACTATCTATCGCTTGGGTGAAAAAGGTGGCGCCCACTGATGACAATCAAGTTTCACGCCTATAATTATGCTTCGACGGCAATTGCTCTTTAGCGTCTATTTTGTACATTAATCGAATTTAAATGTTAAACCTGGATCAATAGTATACCTAACCCCAAACCTCAACATGTACCTAACCTAAAACCTAAGTGTAACCCCAACACTAACTATACAAACTGTTTACTTGACGAAATTGACCCTGCGTCAGTTTTGTATTATAACTGAATTCTAAATGCCAAATCTGGAAAACGTACTATACATAACCCTAACCTTAAACCTAACCTAAAAACAAAAGTTCAACCCTGACTCAAACTTATTTATCTTTGACGAAATGAATTAAAGCCTGGAGCAATCGCCTGAGCATTATGCCTGAGGACGGATAATCAGTCACCTTTATTGCCTCCCTCCTATGTCCCCGTATAATATTAAAGTTACCATTTCAGGAAATACTAACGAGGAGAGCGGTGCGTGAAGAAAGAAAATGATTGTATTTTTTTATGATGTAATACATGTTTCGCGTCTTCATTTTGATGCGAATTACTTAAATGGGATATTATTATTAGTGGAGATTTCCTTACAGGTAAATTCGCTGTTCTAAACACGAAGCAAATCGCAAATATTCTACATTTCTAACACTTTGCCGAATATAGATTTATGAAAAGTGCTAATGAAAGATTGCAAGGTTATTATCGCATTGTACTTGATGACGGCTTGTAATTTTATCGAAGAAGTCTGTAAATATTCTTAGATTTTGTTTCACGTGTGCAGAACGATACGCATTGTCCATCATAATGTATTTATTTTGTGGTACAAATCACGGTAGAGTTAACGCTTTTTTTCATGCACCTTTGTATTCCCTTTTGGTTATGTTAGCCTCTCCTGTCACAGCATTAATCTTGGGAAAAAGAAAAAAGAAAGTAATAAAAAGGTCAAATCTAGACTTCTATATCCTTAGTTGTGTGTTCATTAATTCTGACGCGGGTTTTGTCTGGTTTGAAAATCATAAAGGGGGACAACGTGAGTAATATTGGTAGCGGTGATGATAGTGATGATAATCATGGCGGGTTGATGATGATGGTGGAGGTGGTGGTGGTATTGGTGGCGGTGATGATGATGATGATGATGATGATGATAATGATGATAATGATGATAATGATGATTGAGAGGAGGATGATAGTGATGATAGTGGTGATAATAATGATTGAGAGGAGGATGATAGTGATGATGATAATGATGATGATGAAGAGGAGAATGCTAATGACGATGATAATGATGATGATAATGATGATGATGATGATGATGATGATGGAGGTGTATTAATGTTGATTGAGAGGAGGATGATAGTGATGATGATAATGATGATGATGATGATGAAGAGGAGAATGCTAATGACGATGATAATGATGATGATAATGATGATGTTGATGATGATGATGGAGGTGTATTAATGTTGATTGAGAGGAGGATGATAGTGATGATGATAATGATGATGATGATGATGGAGGTGATATTAATGTTGATTGAGAGGAGGATGATAGTGATGATGATAATGATGATGATGAAGAGGAGAATGATAATGATGATGATAATGATGATGATAATGATGATGATGATGATGATGATGATGGAGGTGATATTAATGTTGATTGAGAGGAGGATGATAGTGATGATGATAATGATGATGATGAAGAGGAGAATGATAATGATGATGATAATGATGATGATAATGATGATGATGATGATGATGGAGATGTATTAATGTTGATTGAGAGGAGGATGATAGTGATGAAGAGGAGGAAGAGGAGGAGGAAGAAGAGGAGGAGGAGGAGAGGGAGGAGAAGGAGGATAGCGATTTTGATAATAGTGATGATGATGGTGACAAAAAGATGGTTCAACAGTTGTGAAAAAAGGAAAAAAAGGTTGAAATGGTAAAGACCAAAATTATTGTCTAGATTATTATCTTTTAAATCCCCTCCATATTCACATAACTTACGAAATACACGGGACAGCTCCTTCTAACATTTATTTACATTAAAAAAAATCACTCTTGGAGATGGCGCTTTCAGTTGTGCCGCTCCAATGATTCGGAATAACCTACCACTAGACATAAAAAAGCCTCATCTGCTGCCGTGTGAAGACGCATTTGTTTTCCGAAGCTTTGGGATAGGTTTTGGTTGTGTTTCCGTATAAAGAAGCACTGTTAGGAGTTTTTTCATCACAGCACACTAGAGTATATTTATATAGTAACCGCGGTATATAAATTGATTCGATTATTATTTTATATATCACAATTACAACCACACAGGTTTCCAGAATCAAAACTCACAAACAACGTGTGCACTATCTCCTTTTGTAAAGACTATTCTGGCATTCTCTTGTAAGAGGATTATATGACTGCCTGAATGGGCAATATCACTTTTGCAATCTCGATACTGTACTACAATATAAATATTACTTGTATAATCATGGATAGAAGTTGGATAGATATTTGAAATTTCTTTCATGACAAGGAAATTAATGAAGATAGCAAATTGGGCCTATGCCATGGAGTTCTAAGACGAAACAAGATGACAGCACAGCATCTGCATGTCTGTGTGTCCTGGATGTGGCTCAAGTTTCTAACGGCGAGTTCATAATCTCAAAGAAGTTCACATCGAAGACTATAATCTGCCAATGCCTGTCGCAACTCCGGAGCACTTGACAATTAAATACCTCTCAGTTGTCCTATCCACTTAGCATAATCCTTGGTTTGACGTCAGTTTTGAGTTACACACCTTGTGTTATCCACCTCTGTAGATGCAAACTTGATTTCTTAGTCGTGTGTCACTTCCCGCGTGCGTGAAAGTGCAATCATGTCGTCTGCCCGCTGTTTCTGTTCATGGTTTGTTTTATCCTTGAAATTTTTGAAGGATTTATAAGTGCTCTATTGATCAAATAATTTGTAGCAGCTTTGCTATTCCCTGAGAAACAAAAGAAATAATACGTTTTACATTTTTATGTCTAAATTGAAGCTTACGAGAAGTTAGAACAAAACAAACGCAGGCCTTTGTGCTATTACGTATTTATAAATTACATGCCATGTTAGTATAATGCAAGAATGATGTTTAATCCAAGGGGGAATATATGCATTATTCTGATCCTGAACGGCTCTTAAAATTCATCTTATTTTATTGGAAGGGAAATTAAGGTAATTGGAATTAGAAAACAAAACGACTTTAGTTTTATTCATCCGTCATATTGCTCCGGTTGTCCCATTTTCACTCGCTGGAACATTGCCAGCACAAACCACTGACCTCTACCTCCTGGACGGATCATCGCCCATTCCCATTCACTATACGTTACGTACTAAAAGGCTGCATTGTCTGACCGTTCATGAATATTCATGTTTTTGCTTACCTCGGCAAATTGCTTGCCTTTACTAAATGGAAAAATTACGGTGGGGGTTGGATGACATGGACAAAATGAACAAATCAAAACTGATCTATGATAATTCATGCTTCTTATCCTTCGTGTGCTTGACATATAACCTTACAATCGCGTAGTAAATTCAGTCCAAAGTTCGACTTGTTGTACATGTGTTATATAGGCAATGGCGAGCTTGCGACCCATTTTGATGAAATTACGGTGGGTAAACTTTCAAAAGTCAATGAGACATGAGGGTTCCAATGAAAGAGCTAGTGATAACGTACGTCGTGGTGGATGTGCTTTTCGTTTAAACAAAAATGAATTTTTAACGATTTTTGTTTGGTAAAAGTCCATAGGCTAACATGTTAGGCTGCTGACTTTGACGATAGGGGACGTTGTCAAATGAGGCTAAACGGAGCTATATGTTTTTTTTTTTCAAAATAAATTATCTTTTGATAGCTGACTTTCGAAAAAAAGGAGAGTGCTGTTTATTTGTCGATTATTTCTACGAATTCTTATTTAATTCATTTGTAGATATTTTATTTATTTTCATCAATGTGACTGCTTTAATCTTTGTTTCCTTTATTGAAAAGGGTACATTTGTTTCCACTCCACCATTACCGTGTTTACACAGTGATCCGCCTCGAGGGTTGAAACCGGGTTGAAGCCGCGAGGCGTGTTGAACCCCGCAATTTTTCCCGTTTATATGACATAAAATTGCCGGGTTCAACACGCCTCGAGGCTTCAAACCGGCTTCAACCCTCGAGGCGGATCACTATATAAACACGGTACATATAACACGGAGCTACGCGCACACCCACTATTCGCTACGCACACATACAAACACACACAAGCGCGCACACACGCACGAGCACACAATATACCCTCACACAACATCCTCACAAACGCATCCATAAAGATAGTTTAAACACTTTTTCATCTTAAATTTTACCTTGAGATTTTTTTTTTTTAGGCCGCCATCCTAGTCAATAATCGCTTATGATTGCGGTCTCCTCCACTTTGTCCACAGATAGTTCGGATAATACTTCAAATTTATAATAACATGTAATATACAAATATCAAGTTTCGTTAATATATGTATATATGAAAACAAATATATTTGTCATGAAGTTATTATTGTTTGTATATGTTACGTTTATATGTTCTTTGTTACTCAGTTATTATGTTTGGAAAAATGCAGAAATAAAGATCAAATCAAATCAATCTCGCAGTTTAATGTGAAAATGTCAGAACACAGATTAAAGTCAATTTATACTATTTAACCTATTTACTGGAGGGCCACTTCGTTTTCAGCGAAAAATATATGTACAAATGGTTGAGTAATCTGACATTTCCAACGAGGAAATTCTTCCTTTAAAAAACAAAAACACTATACATTCAGTTGGGAAATTACTTGTGACAGGTAAACAATTCGTTCTGAGCTGAAATAATCGATAAGTTAGGGGGAGAAAATGTAAACCATTTCTTTCCTTTTCAGTGAACAAATCGTGGAAAAATAAAGTCACTGAGCTTTGTGTTCTAATATTTAGAAATTTGAAGCTAATTACACTTAACGTCATTAAAACAAACCGCCGTGGGTTTGCCGCGTCATTTCTGAAGGAGGTTTCAGTGGTTAACATGTCTTTGTTTCTCTTTCTCTTTCTCTTTCTCTCTCTCCCTCTCTCTCTTTCTCTCTCTCTCTCTCAAATCCTGCTATCTTCTGTTTATCATTCCAATATGTATCACACTGTCTCATTAACACCATTGCTCCAATCTGAAAAAAGCTATCTGGGGCTACCCATTGGTGACATTTCTCTCACTTCACCTACACCAACGGTAATGCACAGTGAGTCCACCAATGACCCCCAATGACCCCCAAATGACACGGAGATTGTTGTACTTTGTGTCGTACGTACCCCTCGAAAGTCAACACAAAACACACCTTCTCAAAATCACATATGATTAACTGCTTTTCAAGGTATTTCCTCGTCAATTGTGCGATCATTGCTTTCTTAACAGCACCTGTGCCCTCGTGCAGGCGTCAATATTTGGTCGGTGTTAGCGCTGAACAATTTAGATCACTTCTCAACTTTTTAAATTATGTATTATTGTTCATACCTCTTATTTTTTTCTATTCAAAACTGGGGAAGCTACAGTAGGAAAGGACGAGCCCCCCCCCCCCCGAACATAAAACGTGACTTCCAGGTAACATAAAACTAAAATATCAGCTTTTTATTACTTTTATATGTGAGTGAGTGAGTGAGCATTGTATCATCACTGTCTATACACGTATTTTATTCAAAACACGTATATTGCTTTTAATAAAAGGAACCCCAAATAAGAAGTGTAGGTATTGTGGAAATGTGATGTACTCCTGTCCTTTGATGTACAGTGTTCTTTATGAAGCTAAATCAATGAGTTATCTAGGTCCTAAACAGTGGAATATGATTCCCCAAGTAATAACGAAATCACAATTCATATCTTCCTTTAGAAAACAATATAAAATCGTACTACTAAATAATTACTAATCAGCACAGTTGT